ACGCCTGGCTGATTTTTGATTTATTGTAGAGATGAGGTCTCGCCAAGTTGCCCAGGTGGGTCTCGAACCCGTGGGCTAAGGCACTCCACTCACCTCAGTCTCCCAAAGTGCAGGATTACAGGCTGAGCCACCAAGCGTGGCTCCAGGCACAGTTCTTAACAGACAATAATTCCTGGAGCAAAGGTGAAAACAATCTGTAAACAGAACATGGGGTGCCCTTGAAAGACTTGTAAATAAAGAAATGCTAGCCCTTAAAAACCTAAAGTATAACCACAATAATGGATTCTAGCAGAGATAAGCAAAGTGTTTCATAGAGCCTTGGGCTAAAGCTTGACAGTAGCCACTTTAAAAGCATTTATGATAAAAATCTAAAGAAAAAATGGATCTATCAAAAATCAAGTTAGTCTGACCTAATGAAGAAGGGAATGATCTAACATTTAGAGGATCAGGCAGAAGCTATCCTTACACCCAGCTTTGGACGTTATATATCATTTCTATTATACTGTGTTTCTTAGAAGGAAATCCCTGAGTCTGGCTCACATTTAAGTGGAGGGGAATCAGATTCTGCCTTGTGACAGGAGGAGCATAGAATTTGTGTACAGGTTTTAAAACCACCAGAGTCTACATTAAAGATTTTTTAAGAGACAGACCTCTATAATTCATATTTGTTGTAGGACCAGTATTAGCTATGTTTCTCTTGAGCAACCAGTTTGTTTTTATTTTGTGATGCTGTGAATCAATCTGTAAATTGTTTTCCTCTTTTCTCAGCTGTCAAGAAGCTCAAAATAAAAATTTGGCTTGCCCCCAGCTTGTGTACAAACCTTAAGGTGTTCGTTATGGATTCAGTTCACTATGACTTCATCTTTTTTTCTGAGTTGAAGTCTCACTCTGTCGCCCAGGCGGGAGTGCAGTGGCACACCCACAGCCACCGCAGCCTTTGCTGGGCTCAGGTGATCCTTTCACCTCAGTCTTACAAGTAGCGGGAACCATGGGTGCTCGCCACCACGACCGGCTAATTTCTTGTACAGATGCTGATCTCAGACCTCTGGACTCAGACAATCCTCTCGCCTCTGCCTCCCAAAGTGCTGGGATTACAGGCATGAGCCACCACGTCTGGCCATGACTTCATCTTATTTTTCTCTTCTTTTGAGTCAAGGTCATTCTGTTGCTCAGTGCAGCGGCACGCTCATGGCCACTGCAGCCTCAACTTGCTGGGTTCAGGAGATCCTTCTACCTCAGTCTCCCAAGTAGCTGGGACTATAGGCGTGCCCCACCATGCCTGGCTTATTTTTTATTTATTGTAGAGATGAGGTCTCCCAAGTTGCCTAGGCTGGTCTCAAACCCCTGGGCTCAGGCAATCCTCTCGCCTCCACTCCCAAATTTCTGGAATTACAGGTGTGAGCCACCCCACCCGGCTTCATCTTATTTTTCTATTCTTTCACTTTATTCTTATTTTTTTGTGTTCTTATACATATACATATATATGAGGTAATATCTACATATCAATATATCTAGATCTATGTATGCTGTAGCATATTGTGTGTATGAGTCACCCCAATTCCTTTTGAAATAAAAATGAGCATTTAATAAATACAACTAAGCCGGGCTCGGTGGCTCAGCCTGTAATCCCAGCACTTTGGGAGGCTGAAGTGAGTGGATTGCATGAGCCCGTGGGTTCGAGACCTGCCTGGGCAACTTGGTGAGACCTCATCTCTACAATAAAATCAAAAATTATCTGGGCGTGGTAGCTCACACCTGTAGTTCCAGCTACTTGGAAGGCTGAGGAGGAAGGATCGCCGGAGCCCAGCAGGTCGAGGCTGCGGTGGGTGGGAGCAGCTACTGCACTCCAGTCTGGGTGACAGAGTGAGACTCCAACTCAAAAAAAAAATACAACTAAATATTTTTCATTTCTCTTAAAACTTGAAGTCACTTGCATAGTTCTTTTGTTTTCTTAATAAATATAACTTTATTGATGTTTTTGTTCCATGCATACTTACATAACATAGAAAATCATGAATTTGGTCGGCACGGTGGCTAATACCTGTAGTGCCAGCACTTTGGGAGGCCGAGGTGGGAGGATTATTTGAGCCCAGGAGTTGGAGACTAGCCTGGGCCACATAGCGAGACTCCGTGTCTACAATAAATAAAAAAATTAGCCATGTGTGGTGGCTGAGGCAGAAGGCAGAAGCTACTCTTGAGGCTGAGGCAGAAGGATCATCGGAGCTCAGGAGGTGGAGACTGTGGTAAATTGTGGTCATGCCACTGCACTCCGGTCTGGATGACACAGTAAGACCCTGATTCAAGAAAAAAAGAAAAGAAAAGAATGAAAATCATGAAGTTAAAAAACTCCTAAATCTCACCACCCAGAGAAAAACAGTATAAATATTTTGACGAATAACCTTTTAGACATCTATTTATAAATATAGTCTCAGGCAATTCTACATAAATAGAATTTTTTTCCAGGTCAATTTAAAAAATGCTGTCCTCCTCCCAATCATATCAAGAAAAAAAATCTAGTTAGCAAACCGAGTTTGCTGAAAAATTTTAGTTATGAAACGACTGGCAGAGAAAGCAGGAAACATTCACCATGAATTAAGCGCCAACGAAGTGTGGAGAACGGTGCTAGAACCGAGGCAGTTCGGCCAAGGTGAATAGGACGCGGCCGCCACCCCGCAGGACTTAGGGATAGATAAACCGTGGTGAGAACTCTGGTGGACGGCCAGGACTCGGGACAGGTGTCTAAACACGGAACCTCAAATTATGAAAGCCATTACACTTCCAGCCTTGAAAGTCGCTAAATATTTCCCCTTATCCCTATATCACTCGCGCCCAGTTCCTAAGAACAGCAACAAAAGCAAAAACACGACAAAGTGTCCCTGATCCCGCTCCTTCTCAAGCACTGGAATATTTTTAAACTTTTCCCACAGGATAATGAGTACCTTCCCACAGCGAGGCATAGCCCCTGAAACTACAAGTCCCAGCAGGCTGCGCACGCAGTGCAGTGGGTACAGTACTTTCTTCTTTTCAGAACGCCGCCTTACGGTCCAATCCCGGTCAGTGCTTGTGAACCGTGGCCGCAGCGCCTGTTGGGACTTATAGTCCGCTCTCGAGTCCCTTTCTTGATGCGCGCAGACTCACGCGGCCTCTGACTGCCCTTCGGTTTGCAGAAGCCCAGCCCTGTATTCAACGCTCCCCACCCCCATCTCGCTCCATTCCCTCGGGGGACAACCTCCTCCGGTCACGTGGGAAATCTCACATGCGGCGATTGGCCATGGGGATTCGGGGGCGGGGCGCAGGGCCCTGCGAGGTTCCGTGCCCCTTGTCGGGCCGCTTGTTTGGCTGCTGCCGTCACCTCATGGCGACGCGGGGAGAGGAGGCAACGCGGGGGAGAGGCGGCGGCGCCGAGGAGGCGATTGAGGCCAGACGGGGCGGACGACGACGCAGTCCGCGGCAGAAGGTCAGTCAAGGGAACGCCCTCGTTGTTGACTGGCCGAGAGGGATGCATGGGCTACCTTTTTCTGGGTGCACCTCTTCACACTCCCCGGTTACCTTTAACCACGGGACGAACATCCGGCCCTCTTCCCTCCCGGGGGTGACGACAGTGGGAGCAGGTGGGGGAGGTGGGACTGGGATGGATGGACCGGGAAGGGGCGATGGCTAGGGCTCGGGGACGCGCGGCGGGGGTGCAGGAATGGAAGGCAGGGGTCACACCCGGGTCTGAGGGGAAGGGGTACGAGGCGGGGGCGCGCCAGGTGTGACAGCCACGTGCGGCCGGCACCATGGGGCCCCGGGCGCCAGGTGTTCTCGCTGCCAGCCGTCGCCGTCAGTTTGCTCCCCGCGCTGGGCGCCGCAGTCCAGGGGTTTACTGGGATCAAGGGCTCACCCTCTTCGGGTCGGGCAGGTGCGCAGGGCTCGCTGCGGGGTACTCCTGGGCTGCTCAGGCGAGGCTGTTGCGCAGTAAGATAACCGCGCGGGAGCCGAGGTTGTGCTTCGCCCCCCTTCCCCCGCCCCCCTGCTCCCCTCCATTGCGCGGGCGGGCGGGTGAGCGTCGCGGGGCGGGGTGGGGGTTGGCGCTCGGCCCCAGGGACCCAGACCCCAGATCTCGACTCTGGACGCCGGGGGCATGGCTGCACGTGGGGCCGGGGTTGGTTGGGGAGGAGATGCTGGAGGACCTCGGTCCCGCAGAGTTGGGATATCTCGTGATAGCCGGTCTTCCCAGCCCTATTTCAGCCCCCTTTCTTTTTCTGTTTTCGTTCTTTTATTACTGTTTTTTAAATGTGATGAGCGGAAACTTGAGCACTTCCCGACCCTGGCCTTTGGTCTTTCTTAATCTGGGAGACAGGCTGGACTGTACCCCTTGCCTTACTTGACTCACGTCAAGGAGTTTTCAGTTTTTCCCTGGATACAGGAAAATCGAGACCTCTTTCAGAATGGGAGAATTCCACTTGTTCTGGAGCTCAGTGGGTGGAGTTTGAAAAAAGATTGCACAACGAATGGTGGGGTACAGGGCTTTTGGGGCTCTGAAATGGAGAACGGTGGGGAATGAGGCTGGGAAGGTGGGAACCCTGTCTCTTTTTCCTTGCAGGTGAACATATTGAAACTTTCAACATGTTAGATGTCCTGCTTGATCACTCAGAGCTATTTAATATTATTTAATTATGTATTTGAATACTCTTAAAAGTCACTCCTGTATGAAATGACGAAATGATATTTTTCTAATGCGATTCATGAACTTCAAAAGGGAGAACAAAGGTCCAGTTTACAGCTGAGCAGAGTGTTAAGAATTAGCTTTTTGGCCTGTTACTAAGGTCACGTATTTTCATGTCTTTGCATGAGGGTGTTACTACTTCTCAATTACCTCTCTTTCTTTCTCTCACTCTCTTTGTATTCTAAAAGAAAGATCAGTGCTTGCAGGACTGAAAAAGAAGCTGTGGACCAGTGTACTGTAGGGATTCAACACTGTCACTTTGGACACTTTACTTATTCCCTGAGGGTGGGGAGCCAGTCTCAGTGTTTGATTTCGTAGGTTTCCCAGGGGAGAACTCCCGATAAAAAGCCACTGCAATTGAGGACATAAGTTTCTTTTTATGACACAGGGATAAGGACAAAAAGTCATTGAAACTGAGGTTTAATCAACTAGCATTTTAAACGACCAAGATAAGAGGTAATGACCCTTTGAGGTGCATAGCTCTGGTTAACAGCTGGATATGAATACTCATGTGTGTATTTTTTGTTTACTTACCTCATATCCTTTCTTCTTTGCTCATGCTTTTCTGGGTGTCATTTACCTTTTTGATTTCCAACTGACAATGACATGGAATTGAAATACATGATTAAATATTAGTTTTTGAATTTCCATTTAAAAATTCAGTGAATATCTTGTGCCTGCAAAAATCATTTTTAAGCTGGGCATGATGGTGTGTGCCTTTAGTCCCGGCTGCTCAGGAGGCTGAGGTAGCAGAGTCACTTGAAACCAAGAGTTGGAGGCCAGCCTGGACAACATAGTGAGACTTTGTTTCTAGAAAAAAAAATTGTTTTAAATCTTTTTTTTTTTTGGAGTCAGAATCTTACTCTGTTGCCCAGGCTGGAGTGCAGTGGCACATTGCTCACAGCACTCAACCTGCTGGGCTCAGGCGATCCTTCCACCTCAACCTTCCAAGTAGTTGGAACTACAGGCACTCGCCACCACATCCAGCTAATTTTTTGATTTATTGTGGAGATGAGGTCTTGCCAGGTTGCCCAGGCTGGTCTCGAACCCCTGGTCTCAGACAGTCCTCTCACCTCGGCCTCCCAAAGTACTGGGATTACAGGCTTGAGCCACCGTGCCTGGCCATTTAAAATCTGTTTTTTTAATTTTTTAATTTTTTTTTGAGTTGGAGTCTCACTCTGTCGCCCAGACTGGAGTGCAGTGGCCGCTCCCGGCCACCGCAGCCTCGACCTACTGGGCTCCAGTGATCCTTCCACCTCAGCCTTCTGAGTAGCCAGAATTACAGGCATGTGCTACCACGCCCGGCTGATTTTTGATTTATTGTAGAAATGAGGTCTCGCCAAGTTGCCCAGGCGGGTCTCGAACCCGCGGGCTCAGGCAATCCACTCACCTCAGCCTCCCAAAGGAGCAGGGTTACAGGCTGAGCCACCGAACCTGGCTTTTTTTTTTTTTTTTTGAGTTGGCGTCTCACTCTTGTTGCCCAGGCTGGAGTGTAGCGGCATGCTCCCAGCCACTGCAGCCTCCACCTGCTGGACTTAGGCGATCCTTCCGCCTCAGCCTTCCAAGTAGTTGGAATTACAGACGCATACCACCACGTCTGACTAGTTTTTTGTGATTTATTGTAGAGACAAGGTCTCACCAAGTTACCCAGGCTGGTCTCTAGCCCACGGGCTCAGGCAGTCCTCTCGCCTCAGCCTCCCAAAGAGCTGGGATTACAGGCTGAGCCATCGCGCCCAGCCTAAAATCATTTTTAAGTTAACTTCCTTATGACCCTTAATGTTTAAAATTTTCTCTGGGTCACTGAGTTGAAAACAATTTTTCCTTCATTCTAATTTAACTTCTACCCTTTTTTCCAGGAAGCAGAAATGATGTTTAATGCATTGTGTGTTTTGAAAATATTGAAAGAATTAAAAGAAAAAGGACCGTTTTGTCATTATTTGGTGTCAGTATGGGACTTGAAGTGAGGGACAGTTGGAGATGGGCTTTGTTGGTTCTTGATTGCTTTATTTATTTTTTTTTTTGAGTTGGAGTCTCACTCTTTGTTGCCCAGGCTGGAGTGCAGTAGCACGCGCATGGCCACCAGAGCCTTGACCTGCTGGGCTTAGGTAATCCTTCTGCCTCAGCCTTCCAAGCACGCCACCACACCCGGCTAGCTTTTGTGATTTATTGTGGAGACGAGGTCTCACCAAGTTGCCCGGCTAGTCTTGAACCCCCCAGGCTCAGGCAATCCTCTCACCTCGGCCTCCCAAGGTGCTGGGATTATAGACTGAGCCACCTTGCCTGGCCCTGATTGTTTTAACCATCTGCCTAGTCACTCTTGACCTGCTAAGTTAATTGTGGCATTGTTTCATAATTACATCCATTTGAATGGTCTTTTGGGGTTACAACTTTTTTCTTCTAAAGGTAATATTACAGTACATTTCTAAGGATCTCTCAAGGAATTGTCTACAACTGCTGATACAGTGGCCGCTAGTAACATGTAGTTATTTTTTTGTTTATTTTTGAGTCAGGGTCTCATTCTGTCACCCAGATTGGAGTGTAGTGGCTTGATCACTGCTCACCACAGCCTTGACCTTCTGGGCTCCTTCCATCTCAGCCTCCCAAGTAGCTGGGTCTACCAGTGCACATCACCACACCCAGCTACTTTTTTGAATTTTTTGTGGAGACGAGGTCTCACTATGTTGCCCAGGCTGGTCTTGAACTCTTGGGCTCAAGCCTCTCGCTTTGGCCTCCCAAAGTGTTGGGATTACAGGAGTGAGCCACCACACCAGGCCTTCAGTTTGTTAACTGAAGTTAAACAAAATTAAAAATTCTATTTCTGCCGGGCTTGGTGGCTCAACCTGTAATCCCACGCATTTGGGAGGCTGAGGTGAGTGGATTGCCTGAGCCCGCGAGTTCGAGACCCGCCTGGGCAACTTGGCAAGACCTCATCTCTACAGTAAATCAAAAAATCAGCCGGGCGTGGTAGCGCGCGCCTGTAGTTCCAGCTACTCGGAAGGCTGAGGTGGAAGGATCGCCAGAGCCCAGCAGGTCGAGGCTGCGGTGGCTGGGAGTGACCACTGCACTCCAGTCTGGGCGACCGAGTGAGACTCCAACTCAAAAAAAAAAAAAATTCTATTTCTGAGTCATACTAGCCAAATTTCAGGTGTTTAATAGCCATTGTGGGTAGTGGCTACCATACATGACCAGACTTAGAATTTTTCCATCATTGCATAACATTTTATTGGGCAGCATTGATCTAAAAAGATGAGTCTACATTATTTAATATTCCAGGCATTTTTTTTTTACAACATCAGGCTAATTTTTCTTCCTAAATCCCTGTGTAGAATTTATTTTATAAGTTTGATTTTTTTTTTTTTTTTTGAGTTGGAGTCTCACTCTGTCGCCCAGACTGGAGTTCAGTGGCTGCTCCTGGCCACCGCAGCCTCAACCTGCTGGGCTCCAGCAATCCTTCCGCCTCAGACTTCCCAGTAGCTGGAACTACAGTCGTGCACTACCACACCCGGCTCATTTTTGATTTATTGTAGAGATGAGGTCTCGCCTGCCCAGGTGGGTCTCGAACCCACGGGCTCAGGCTATCCACTCACCTCAGCCTCCCAAAGGCACGGGATTATAGGCTGATCCACCGAGCCCGGCTATAAGTTTGATTTTTAAAAACAGACTTTTGCCTGTCTCGGTGGCTCAGCCTATAATCCCGCGCCTTTGGGAGGCTGAGGTGAGTGAATTGTATGAGCCCGCGGGTTTGAGAC